ACCCATGATTTAGCCGCACCCAAGCCGCACCCATGATTTTTTTCGCTCCCAATTTTTCCACACCCAAATATGATTTCCCACACCCACATATACACCCGCACCCAAATGATTTTCCGCACCCATATCCTTAAAAATTTAGCTAGATTCTATTCGGGTCTTATTTTTTTCGCTCGTTTCTTTTTGAATCAAATTTTTTTCCCCTGCATCTCTGAACCTGTTTTTACAGTATGATGTTTAGCATGGAAAAACTATTTTAGAGAGAAAAGACTATGCATGTTGTTCCATTGCATGAAAAACTGCGAACGGCTCATTAGGAGGGACTTCTCTCGAGTTCAAAAATTGAGCGGAATTTTTTTAATGTCAATTTCCAAAAAGCTAAGGAAAATAGTTCTCGATAATATTTAAGCAAAAATTAGAGGCTTCTTTCAACCGAAGATGCATGTTGGTTCTTCGTTTTTCGTATAGGAATCTGCGAACGGCTCATTAGGAACAAACCACGGGTTTTTGTTTCTTCAAATGAGCTTATTTCCAATCAATTTTTTTTTTTTGATTCTTTTCGCCCATAGCCGACTTTCAGCTTTGCCCGTCCAAATAGTTGAATGCATTGTCTGACGGTCCTTCTTCTGAGCACAGTTCATCCAGTTGCGCTATGACGAGCTCACTTTTTGAAACAAGCATGGAGATCGTGTTCTAGGTCAAATCCCAAACTTATAATTTGTAGATTAATCTCAGGTTTTTTCTGGCTGGAACTTTTCACCATAATCGCCAAGTTTTTTTTTTTTCTGTGAATTGTTAGATATGTTTCTACTGTCAATTTCTGAACAGGTTTCGCATTAGCGCGGGTGATAATGATTTAAGAATAGCTCTGCGAGATTTACCTAATAAATGAGCTTGACTAATACTAATTCTCAGTCGTTGCATAAATAGAATTATTCAGAATGTAAGAAAATCTACTAACGACTTGTTAGTATTGATTTCATTTTTTTTAATTTTAAATTTTCCAATAATTCAAAACGCGTCTCCAGAAGAAATCTTATCTTTTTCAGATGGTTACACAGTCTAAGAACCACTTCGAAATACATTCAGAGTTCAGAGTGTGTTGCGAAACAGTATTTGCAAACGGTCACGCGGAAGAGGACACTCAAGCAGAATTCACCCATCCGAGAACCCATCAAGCTGTTTTTCTTTCGAACTTCAGTAGTTTCATCCGAAACATGCGAAACGAAAAATCAAAGCCCAAGCTCATTGACTTTATCAATTGAGAACTTCCGATTAACATTGAAAAAAACTGGAGCACTAAGAGATCGAAGTTTTTAAAAAAACGAAAAAAAGGAGACTGTATTAAAGGGTCTGAGGAGGTCCCAAAGACTCTGAAAGCTTTCTCGAAAACCATTGATATAATGTCCTTCAGTCTCGAGAATGAGTGACAAGAAGTGCGATAAAAATCCTCCGAATACTTCAAAAAGATCTCTGGCTCTCCAAAACCTTCGTCTTTTTTTGACGGTCTTTTTCGCTGGAATCACTTCGAAAGCGGTATAAAGACACGACACTCCTTTTCCCGATATGATTATTCAAACTTTGAAAAGCTTGATTGACATGAAAAAAATTGATGCGAAAAAAATTTAACTTTTTGGGCCTAAAATTTTTGGGAACAAGTGAAAAACTTTGATAAAAATTTTACAACATCAGTTTTTTCTCATTGTAGAACATCAGTGGTTAGAATATCTGAATTAAAAATATAAAATACAAAGTTAAATCATCCAAATTTTAGGCCAGATTTTTTAATTGAGATTCAGCGTCGATAATTTTAAGTAATTTCACTGTAGAAAGAAAAACCCTTAATGTAAAAAAAGTCAAAATGATAAAAAGCAAAGAAGAGCAGAAAACACGCCAAAAAGCTTATTTTTTTGGCAATGGAAAGACAAAATTTTTCGAAAAACTGGCAATTATCCAAGTGTATGGAAAGATAGGGTCCCAAAGCGATGAGATAGCGCGCCAAAACTCTTGGCGCCTGCTTAAATTACGTTTTTTTAGTTGTTTTTTTCTTCAATGATTCTTTTTTTCAATTCTTGTGTTTTCTGTATAGTTTCATCAATTATTTCTTGATATTAGTATTTTGTTAAGCTCATTGTTTTTTCTCACATTTATGCGCAGGTTTCACATCTTATCAAGAAACATTTTAGGCCCAAAAATTTAATATCGATTTTCGTCAATTAAAATTTTTATTTGATTTCTCTATCGAGATTCATGAATATTGCATATTATTTTGGAAAAAATATTATGTGTCATAACGACTGTAAATTTTTTAATTTGAAAACTTTCTTTCTCTTATCCTCATGATTTCAAAAAGGCTTTCAAGGGATTTTCAGAGAGCTTCCAGGGTTTCTGAGACCTTTTCAGACCCCTTGATACAGCCTTTTTCGGAGAATCTGAATTGATAAAGTCAATGAAATTGGGCTTTAATTTATTTTTTTTTCGCCTGCTTCGGAAGAAACCAATGAAGTCGGTATAGTCTGTTCAGATTTTTAATGTCAAGTGCAATGACGTCGTTCAAAAACACTCTGTGGATGGCTCGCTCTCTGATTGGTTTATCGAACCATTAGGGGCGGAGCTTGAGCGACGACTTAACATTCAAAATCTGAACAGACTTGATGAGGGTGCTCAAACGCCTGAATTCTGCTTGAGACTCTTCTTCCGCGTGACCGTCTGCAAATCTTATTTCGCGAAACACTCTGAACTCTGAATGAATTTCAAAGTGGAAAATTGAAAAAAAAAATTCAAAATTCAAAGCCGTTAGCCGATTTTTTTGCATTTTGAATAGTTCTATGTACGCAACGACTGAGAACTAGTTTTAGTCAAGCTTTTTTATTAGGAAAATCTCGCGAAGCTATTCTCAAATGACTGTCACCGTCGATCTCGAAAAAAACGCTCAGAAATGGACAGTCGAATCGCCATCTGACAATTTACAGAAAACAAAAACTTGGCAATAATTTCAAAAAGTTCTAACTAGAGAAAACTGAGATTGAACTATAAATTATGAGCTTTTAGAACAGTTTTAAAAAATGAACTGAAAGTTCTGTTCTTAGAAAAGGTTTGAAAAGGCCTAAAGATCAGCTCTTCTTTTAAAACTCTTCACTAGAAGTGATATCTTTCATTTCAAAGATTTCACCTAAAGCACGAGCTTCGCGCGTGAAACGAGGAACCGTCAGACAATTCTATCCTCTTCTTCGACTACAAACTTGGACTTCCAGTTCGATGAAGTTTGAGAAGCTCTTGCACACAGCTCAGTCGATAATATCTATGACTAAAACTACAAAATGATTGACCGACTGAGAAAAAATAATCAAAAAAATTTAGAAAATCTGAAAAGTCATGCCAAGATTAGGAAACTTGGCAGTATCTGTGGCGACGTCATTTCTACTCTCAGACGACCCTAAAAAAAGTCATAGACCAGATACTTCCAAATTCAAACTTGGGTTAAAATCAAAAAAATGTTGAAAAAAATTGATCTGGACAAATTTATCTAAAAAGTCATGGGCAAAGCTGAAAGTCGGCTATGGGCGAAAAGAATCAAAAAAAAAATTGATTGGAAATAAGCTCATTTGAAGAAACAAAAACCCGTGGTTTGTTCCTAATGAGCCGTTCGCAGATTCCTATACGAAAAACGAAGAACCAACATGCATCTCCGGTTGAAAGAAGCCTCTAATTTTTTTGCTTAAATATTATCGAGAACTATTTTTCCTTAGCTTTTTTTGGAAATTGACATTAAAAAAATTCCGCTCAATTTTTTTGAACTCGAGAGAAGTCCCTCCTAATGAGCCGTTCGCAGTTTTTCATGCAATGGAACAACATGCATAGTCTTTTCTCTCTAAAATAGTTTTTCCATGCTAAACATCATACTGTAAAAACAGGTTCAGAGATGCAGGGAAAAATTTGATTCAAAAAGAAACGAGCGAAAAATAAGACCCGAATTTTTTTTTAGAATCTAGCTATATTTTTTTAAGGATATGGGTGCGGAAAATCATTTGGGTGCGGGTGTATATGTGGGTGTGGGAAATCATATTTGGGTGTGGAAAATTGGGAGCGAAAAATCATGGGTGCGGCTTGGGTGCGGCTAAATCATGGGTGCGGAAAAATTGTCGGCCAATATTTTTCAATATAATCGTAGTTTTTAATTTTTCACGAAAAACGCATCGAATCCTCGTCAAATTCAATTTAATATCTTCTTTTTTTCCCAGTTTCCTGTCGTAGTTTGTGTTATAAAACTTTGCCAATATCAGATTTTTGCAAATTGTTGGAAAATTTTCATGTTCCTAGGTGTTGCTAATTGGAGTTTTTACCCTTTTTTCTTTTCAAGATCAAATGCGGCCCAAAATTATAGGAATATGAAAAAAACTAAAAAGGTTAAGAAATATAAAAACCAGTTTTTTCAGAGAAGCTCTTGCACAAATGTCTAAAAGAATTGACAAATTTGATTTTTTCTCAGAAAATCTGGTATTTTCGTGTTTTTTTAGAAGTTTCCATCGGCTGAATGTCCATTGAGAAAAAAATTCGCACCCAAATATTTTTTTCCAGTCTGACAGAATTTCATATTTTTCGAAAAAAAACCTTTCCAAGTTTAAGAAATCCATCAAAATCCGTTAAAAAGACACCTCAAAATCGAAGAAAATCTTCAAATTCGGAGAAAATAGGCCACTTTTGGGCTTCGTTTCTCGGAAAAAATAAAGTTTTGCAGATTGAGACTTTCAAAGCCTTTGTTCAGTGCATCAAGGAATATTCTGGCCATTTTTAAGATTATTCAAATTTTTTTAAATTGTATCTGAAAAAAATTCTTTAATACTCTAAAAAAAAATTTTTTTGCGACTTTTTTTAATGAAAAAAATCATTCTTTTGCACACAATAACCATGACACAAAGGCACATAAAATTCATATTCACAGAAAGAAAAGATAAAATTTGAAAATTCGAAAGAACAAAAACAGTGTTAACAATTGTTTTCAGTCAGCTAGGAAGGTTGCATAATAATCGGACGCCAATACCTGAAATCATCAAATTAAATCGATCATTTGGGAAAAAACGAACATCTGAGAAGTTGGGCCGAAGTCTGGGATCATACTTTAAAACCGACATAATGTGTATAAATAACGGGAATCGCTTCGGGTTCTCCAAATCGAATCGCACTCTAAAATATTCTAATTTCTTCTTTAATAAAAAAAGTTCATTGCGTCATAATTATAGACACACCCCTATTTTTTCCCTTTTCAAAAACTCTGTTGATCTTTTTGCAAAGAAGTTGATTTTACGATAAACCTCAGTCAGAGACATTAAAATTCAGAGAGAATTACAGGAACGAAAAATTCAAAAATCGTCAAAAAAATGGATTTAGACCGCGTCATAATTATAGACCCAGCCCAATTTTTTCAGTTCTTGAAAATTCTATGGAACTTTTTGCAAAGCACCTAATTTCATGATGAATTTCAGTTAGAATGAATGAAACTCAGACAAAATTCAAAAAATTTGATAAAAAGAGGTATCAAAAAATAGTCAAAAAATCGATATAGACCGCGTCATAATTATAGACCCTACCCCGTTTTTAAGTTCTCAATATCCTATGGATTTTTTTTTTCGCAAAGAAACGGATTTTATGGAAAACCATTGCTAATTTAAACAGTACTCAATAAGAATTTAGTGAAAAATTTCTCAAAAATCGTCGAAAAATGAATTTAGACCGAGTCATAATAATAGACTCAAACTTACTTTCGTCGATTTGAGTGTTTATCAAAGTTTCTTGATTTTTTTCTGTTTCTCTATCTTGAAAAGCCTACTTCGAGGGATTTTCAAAACAAACCTCGAAATTCTGAGCTTCCGTTTCCAAATCGATCCTCTCCCTAAGGCGGAAAGATCCGCGCGAAGGTCTCACATTGATACTGCTGGAAAACATTTTTTCTTTGATAATATCCAGAATATTTGCTGAAAACTCTTTGAGGTACCTATGAGGGATCTTTTAGTAGACCACTACTAATTTTGGGAGAAAAAAATGGCCGAATCTCACCCGACTTCCTGAGCCTTCCGAAGCATATTGGATGGCATCCTGACGCCGAAAGTCTTGTAGAACTGGCTGACGAGGTCGGGCTCTTCGATCGAGGAGAACAGGACGTCGCCGGAGTACATCTCGAAAAGGAGGCAGCCGTAGGACCAGACGTCGATTTGAGTGTTCACCGCGGAGCCTCAACATTTGTCTTCTGATTTTCTGACGGATCCTTCTGGAGTCTGATCAGATTTCGAATGTCAAGCAGTCCACCGCAAACACAGTACCATTTCGCGTCAAGAACTCGCGCTTGATAATGTTCCTTTTTAATAGCGGAACACGGCGTTTTTTCGACGACGCCACGCCCACTTTTCTCCGTAAAGTGTCGCGTGTCGTGTGCACGCACTGCGCCGCTTTCGCGCAGAAAATTGCGTTTATGTAGAGACATTTCGATTCGTCTCAAAGACCTCTGGCAATACGGCGTCCTGCGCCTTTAATAGGCCCTGTTACTTTTTTCGTGTTTTTCCCACTAACGAAAACGCCGTGCGAGAGAAAAACAGCGCTATAAAAGGATCATAATCTCGCGCATCTTCTTTTCGATGCGCGCGGTCTACCTCTGTGCATGCGCCTTTAAAATAGATTACTGTAGGGCGTTTTTCAAAATTTTCCATAAAATAGCTCAAGATTCACATGAAAAATTAGCCAATATAAAAGACCGTAAAGCGATTGGAAACCAACCTAAACACACTTCCGGGGCGCGGTAGTGCATTGTCTGTAGTTTGCTCTTGGCAGTGATGTAGTAATCGTCTATAATTTCGAGATTATAGGCATCAATTTTAAATCCGCAAAAATTCGTGGCTGTGTTGCTTTTTTGCGCACAACCTGTGCAGATCAGTTTAGAGAGCACGGTAAACTTGGAGAGACCAGACAAGTACTCTCCTCATTATACACACTCTCTCACGACGTGCGCGCTTATCTGCTCCTTCACTTAGAGAGCATGGCAAACTTGGAGAGAGCAGAATCTGACTCTCCTCATTCTACACACTTTCTGAGGCCCTACGCGCTCATGCGCTGCATCCGTTTAGAGTGCACGGTAAACGTGGAGAGACCAGACTAGTACTCTCCAAGTTCTTCACACTGTCTCGCCTGCTGTTTTCTGTTAAACTGGCGCTCTCCAATTTTACCATGCTCTCTAAAATGTACGCGCGCTGCAGTTTGACTTCTGTGCAAGTTACGCGTACACGGCCACGAAATTTTGCGGACCAAACACCCCACCGTCCATTTCAATCGAACCGTTGAAATCGATGAGTTTGATCCTATTATCACGTAATCGGACAGCACTGTTAGTAATAGAATGCTGGAAAAAATATATACTTAGGGACTTTTAAGGGAAAATAACCACAACGTCCGGGTCTACGAACATGACATTTTCCGGTTTCACGTCGCCATGGATGATATTTTTGGAATGCACAAATTGTAAAGCCGACGCGATTTGCCAGCCGATTTCTTTGATGTCCTCTTCTTAAAATGGGAACCTTGAATTTTGGCCAGTAAAAATTCTTGATCGATTTCGGTGGTTTCAAAATTGACGCGTTATTCGTTGAAAATGACTTCGAAAAATAGGATTTCGGGAGCCGTAAAAAAATGGGCTCCGAAAAAAGATAGCGCTTTTTACGCGAAAACTTTGAATTTTGAAAAATAACTGGGCATTTTCAAACGAAAAATTTTGAAATTCGCGCGTAAAAAGTCACGTATCGCGATATATCGTTGTAGGACCCAAATTTTTATGGTATTTGTGAATGTCCAGAAAAAAAGGATTAGAAAAGATGACAAAAAGTTCTTTTTCTTGAGAAAATTTGAGAAAAGGGAGCTTGGACGACATTTTTCGTAAAATAAACTCATGTTTAAAAAAATTATTTTTTTAGGCACTAAAAAAGCTTGAAAAAAGATAATGCTTAAAAAAGACCCTAAAAACAAGATTTTGAAAAAAAGATTTCTTTGAAAAAAAATGCGCTTTTTTTCTGATTTTTTTTTGTTTGAAAAAAAAATGAGTTTTTGAAAATAAAGTAAGATTAATAAAAAAAGATGACTACGAAGCTAAAAAAATGATTTTTTTTAAAAAGAAGATTGGAAAAACTTTTAAGACGAAAAAAATTCGCTTAAAAGGTCACTTGAACTTTGTTTCAAACTTACTGAGGAAATGAGCGACGGTCTCGGTGATTTTATATTCGTGGTACTGAAAATGGTTATCAATGAATGAAAAAAAGAAAATAAAAAGGTACCATAACATCGAAAAGACTGCTGCCGAGTAAGGGAAACGAAATATAGTTATAACGGGTGGCATCGATTTGGAAACTTCCCGAGTCCAAAACGTTCATCAAACATCTAAAAAACGGAAAAAAATTAGATTTACAAGCTTTTAAAGTGTTGTATTTTTTTGGAAAGAAATAGAGAAAGAAAAGGCTAACCTGCTCTGAAAAGAAGGATCTCGTTTGAGTTTACGAAGAATATTCAATTCCGTTTCCCAGACATGGGTATGATTCATAGAGAATAACTTCAAGGCACTGAAATAATCTCTTCCCTGAAAAAGACAGCTATATCAAATTTCAGAATAAAAAGAACTTATATATTTATCAATTTAATCGAGAAAAGGCTTACATGTACATTTGTTTTAACTTCAAAAACACACGCGGCTGCTCCTTTGCCCAATTGCCTTATTACAGCGTCTGAAATAGAATTGAAAGTTGTCGAAATGGATGAGAGAAAATACGGACATTCATTAATGTAGTCGCCTTGTTCTAGGTGTGGCAGTTCGGGAGTTTCCATCTGAATCCAAATACATGATATAATTTCTGAACTAGAGCGATAAGAAACGAAAAAAAGAGTACAAAAAGCCACAAGAGTCATTTTTGTTTCCATTCTTGCTAGATAATCTCTGCCCTGATAATCTAGATAATCCCAATTAAAACTTTTAAAAAGCAGCAAAAAAGAAAAAAATGGCTAAAACAAACTTAAAATATTCAACAAAAGCTTTTCTGTTCCGTCATGCAACACTGTTTCCGTATGAAAGTTACTGAACTCGAAAAAAAAGAAGATAAAAAGACAATTTATGCCGTATTCAAGGTTAATTTCAAAATTAGCTCTAACTTTTTGAAATTTGGTTATATTTTTCACTCTCTGACGGTTATTATACATTTCGCGGAAATCACTTTGAATAAAAAATAAATTTAAATTTAAAAATCAAGAATAAAGTGAAATTTATTGATTTTGAGAAGCCAGCGAGGGAGCAAAAGAGAGTATGAGGGCGCCAGACGGCTAGAAGTGCTACAGACCAATAAATATACGGTATACAGCGCATTGAAAATTAATTAATCTTTGCTTTTTTTCTATTTTGAGTTTATTCTACTTTTTAATGATATTCAGATAAACTAGTGTTTATACGAAGCTTTTGCGCGCTCTCCAAAAAAATGAATGCATTCTCTAATGTGCGATTTTTTTAAATTTTTGAAAACTTATAATCAAAAATTTTTATTCAGAAGCATTTCGAAGATTTTCAGTTTTTTTAAACTCGTTTGAAATGGAGTGTGAGATGGATCGATTCATGGCAGCAACTTTGTTTCAAGGCAGGTCAGTTTGGTTATAAAGTTTTTTTCTTACAAAAAAGTTCTTTTTCCAGGTCTATTTATTCAAGAATTTCACGATTTCTTATCGGTTTTCAAAATGAATAAAAACTTTTCTGTGTTTTTATGTGACCATCAGATTTAACATTTTATCATGATAATTTCCCAAAATTGTCACGAAAAAGGCTATAATTTTAACTAATTCTTTCAGATTTCAAGTGCTTTTTTTCACTTTCAATTCAACTAGTACATAAGTTAACCAGTTCCAGTTGGAAAAATTGAATCATTTGCTGTTCCAAAAGGGCTAATTTCATGAGAGAAACGGTTGAAATAAAAAAAGTGCTTTTTAAGCGAGTTTTTTTGAAAGTGTAAACTTCAAATGGTTGAGGTTTTTTTCAAATTATATTAGAAGAACTGTTATAAAATTCGCGACTTTTTGTTGGTATTTGGGTCCATTTTTTTCGTGATTTTTCATTCAAATTATGAGTTTCCAGTCCGTTTTTTTCATTTTTTTATCGAAAAATAATGTATCTCAAGGACTTTCCTTTCAAAAATGAATAACGAATCAATCAATACAACTGCTACCTTCAATTTTGTTTCTGATCACAGCTGGACGTCATTTGCCAGTGTGAAAACTTGTGAGAAGAACCGGAAAGTTTTCTGATTCTTCCCATGTTTTTTTTCCTTTTTCTTTCTTGTTGTTGTTGCAAATGGCAGAGGGCAATTGCACTGACACTTTTCGGCGGTTTTCGTTCATTTTTACTTTGATTTTTGGTAGCGATCCGTTGTATATGTTGAAAAAGACAAGTTTAAGTTATACCAGTGCTATTTTTTCTTGTGAACACCAGAGTGGTCCCTAGAGGGGTTACAGAAAAAAACAGCTTCTATAGGACAGCTCCTTTGGTTAGAATTATTCATGTTTTTAAAAAGTTCTTATTTCCAATATATGGAACAGAAAAATTAGCTATCATTTTCGATTTCTGCTTTTCACTGTTTCAAAGTTTGATTATGACAAAGCGATTTGGATGTTTTTCTAATGTTCCCATTGCTCTTAATGCATATAAAATCATAATGAAAGACTTTTTAGAAATTTTTTCTGTTAAACCGCCTCGCGACCGCGACGCATCGAGTCATTCCAAAGCATCAAAACTGATTATCCATAGAGCGTACAAGTTCCAACCTTTTACTCGGGGAAAAAAAGATTTTTTTAAAGATTCCTCAAAAAAATTTTTTTCACTAACTTTTTCACTTTTTTTCCCTTCCTCTAATAAAAAAATAAGCTAAAAAGCTTCTAAAAAAATATCTCAGCTGATCCAAAAAAATGAATTCTCTAAGGATATAAAAAAGGAGCTCAAAGAACTTTTTCCCACCTTTTTTTAAAGACCTTTCATGCCCTTTCTGACAAGGAAGGTCGTTTGATTTTCGATTGGGAATTTCCTAAAACTTAGTCAGAACATTATTTGATGTACCCGAAAAATATTTTGAAAGTCTCACCCTGCAAAACTTCCTAGTTTTAGAGAAATTATGGCTCAAATCCCCAAAAAAAGTCCATTTTTTTTGGACTTTGAGGTGTGTTTTCTCAAAAAATAGGAGGTTTTGCAGGTTCAGACTCCCATAATCTCATTCTGGTACACCAAGGAACGTTTTGACCGAATTTTAAGAGATTCTTAACCACAAACCAAACTGACCTTTCTTCTAAGGATTCTCCAAGGGAACTTTCTGGGGCTGTTTTTTCATGTCTTTTTGATTTCCCAATCAAATCAGACAGTCACGCCTTAAAAGAACAATAGCCGAAGAGTTTTTTTCCGATTTCTGATTCTGATTCACCCGGGTAGACACCAAGGTCACTGGCTTCTGCGGGAAAAGAGAAAGAAGAAAGTTTTGTGAGGGGGGCGTGGCCGTTTGTTTACTACAAGCGAAACGATCATGGCATTCGTCAAACTTCTTTCATTTCTTTTCTTTTCGAAGAAATCTCGGTTCTCGATAACCTTGAGGAATATCTGACTTTTATTTTCAGTTATGCCTTGTTCAAAGTTATTCCGCAAAATGCAATATGGCCGTCAGAGAAAGAAAAAGATAACTAAATTTTGGAGAGGCAGAGATAATTTTGCATTTCGCGGAAATTACTTTGGTATAGAATAGAGGAACTACACTGTAGTTTAGATTTTTCACTTTTTTGAGTTTTTCCTTGATGTTGGCTGGATTTTTATTGAGTTTATTGTAACTTTTGTAATCTACTGGAAAAACTGTAGTGGCCACTTAAGGGGTTCCTCTTTGGAGAGAACACTAAAGGGGCCACTATAGAAGCCCCTATCTTGCTTCTAAGGGGCCACTCTAGTAGTTTTCAGCGGCCGAGTAACACCGCTTAGACTTCTAAAGATGCCACTTAAATGGCCACTGTAGCGTCTAAACCCTAAAGTGATCTCTAAAATTTTCCCTGGTATATCCGAAACATTCATTTTTTTTTCTTTGAGTTCGAGGCCGCAAAAAACTCCTGTTTCTTTCACCCGACCGAAACCGACTTACGCTCGTTGATATGAATCTGAAATTCCTTTCAGAACAATGAAGACGGCTGGAGCGCTGCTCTTGGTGGTTTTTGCTTCACTTCCAAGCGGTACTTTCGAGGTAATTTTTGTTTATCCTGAGCTAACATGAGCAATAATAAATCATGGATTTTTTTAGAAGTTTCTTTTCTAGAAACAGTTTTGGCTTATTTTTTTGCTTTCCTGTGCATTTTTCAAAACTTTAGTTCCTACTTTTTCATGTTTTGAAAACAGAAAAACCGAAAAAAGGTCAAAAGTACCATGCAATCATTGCGACTTTGGCTTATATTTACCCCGAAAAACGAGTTTCTAATTGCGAACTTTTCTCCCAGAGAATGCAAAAGGGAGAAGAGAAAACTGACGTTGTTTGGACTGTAATTATTGGTTTATGGAGTTTGTGATGGGCCGTAATCAGAAATGATTGGAAACTGAAACTGATGGGAGAAAAAAACTTTATAATCATCCTTATAAAAATCTGGTTGTAGTTTGTCGTTCAATCACGTTTACAACAAGATTTGTGTATGTTTTAGAAATTTTAAAAGTAGGATAGACGGGCTGGGTCAGGACGGCCCAGGGCTTTTAGGTCTTATTTTTTTGAAGCCGGGGCTTCGAATGAAAAATTTTGAATTGAACTAAAAATTATTTATTTTTTTCATGGTTTCTGTTGATGTTTGAGTGAAAAAAAGAACCAAAAAAACGGGATTTTTTTGTCCTAAAAATTCTTATATTGGACTGGAAAAAACTTGTGCTCTTAGGGCCGGGCTGGCCTTTTTATGCTTGAGGTCTTGTAAAAGCCGGGCCAGATCGGGCTTTAAGAATGGCCGGAGGGTTAGCCCCCGTACAAGCTTGCCTAAAGGCTCAGTTGTGGAATTCAAGACAAAAAGTCGAAAGTTCTCGATCTTCGGGCCGGGCCGGTTTTTTTCTGCTTGAGAGCTCACTTAGGCCGGGCCAGGTCGGGCTCAGAGAATGAACGGCGGGTCAGCCCTCGTGCAAGCTTGCCTTGCTGCGGAATTCAAGAAATAAGTCAAAACTTTGCCCTCTTCGGGCCGCGTAGCCCCCTCTTGCTTGTGCGCTCCCTAAGGCGGGCCATGTCAGGCTTTAGGTAGGGTCAGCGGGTCAGCCCTCTTACAAGCCCGTTTAAAGACTCACTAGCTTCGGAATTCAAGAAAAAAGTCAAAAGTTCCTGTTTTTCGGCCCGAGCCGTCCCTTTTTGCTTTAGGGCTCACTTAGGCTGGTTCGGGCGGGCCGGCCCTCTCACAAACCCTTTCAAAGGCTGCGGAATTTAAGAAAAATAGCAGAAAATTCCCGCTCTTCGGACCGGGCCCTTCCTTTTTTGCTTTAGGGCTCACTAAGGCCGGGCTAGATCGGGCTCCGAGAATGATCGGAGGGTCAGCCCTGGTCAGGCTCGCTTAAAATCTCACTAGCTGCTCCAAGAAAAACAGTCGGGGATATAAGCCCTGACATTTGAAAGCTTGAAATTTATGTAGAATAGTTTTTATTTTCAGTGTGCCACGAACGGCCTTTGCGGCTACCAGCCGACTTGCGGAGCCGCTTACGCCCCTCCTGCGGCCCCTTGCGGCTGTCAGAGGAGTTATGGATGCGGTTCTTACGGATGTTACAGGTGATTGAAAGATGCGAGGTGGTGGTACTGAAAAAATACCAAAGATCTCTTGTTTCTGGCTTGAAACTGAGGGTAATCGTCGACTGTAATTTGGAGCATCGTATTCTTAAAAATTATGCCTTTTTTTTGCAGACTTGACAGGCTTGAAAAAAACATTCCAAAGTTATTTATTGAAAAAAATAATTCTCAGAATGAAAACTTATGGATGCAACTCCTTGCAAGGTGAAGAAAAACTGAATTTGAAAAAAAATAATCGAAATTTCCAACTTTTTCGCTTGAAACAGAGACCAAAACTTTGATGTGAAGCTGTAATTTGGAACGTCGTTTTTTCTAAATTTTGTCCACATTTTCGCATAGTTCAAAAGCACGGCAATGGGGTGAGGAAAGGTGAGCGAGGCGTCAAAGTTTCTGAATTTATAAAAAAAGGTAAGTGCGCGCTTCGGATAACATGACGTCACAAATTACACTGAGTATTCAACGTTGATAACTTGTTTGTTCGATCGCCTTTGGCTGCGTACTTTAGATTTCAAATTTCGCGCCGAAAATTTTTTTTTTGACGTTTTTCCACTTTGTTTGAGAACGCTGTGAAAAGCAAAAAGATGGTATGTGATGTTGAAAAATGACTTTTCAGAATGAGAGCCCGAGGATCGAAATCCTACCAGCCGAAGCGGACCCGAATGCGCGTTATCGCTGGAGCCAGCTCTGAAGAAACTTCCGACCGAGTTGTTCTCCGCGAGAGGTCGGTTAATTCGCTGCGCATCGACTGATAAGAAAAATTCATCATTAAGATCCAATTAGCCTGTAAAAAAATTGTAAACGTATTAATAATTCTCGAAGTTTTATTATTTTTTTCTTTCTTTTTTAGCTCAATATCCTTTTCAATACAGAATTGCCACATTCTCGGTAGAGCACACTTGCTTTGAAAGTCAAGAACATTTTTTAAAACGAAAAAAAAAACAAATTTCAGAGATAGCGCCGAACCCATCGATAGACATACGTAAGACTTATATTCTATTAAAAATGCAGGCGATGAAATTTCAAGTGGTCTTTATAGTGATTTTCAGTCGTTAATTGCACGGTCAACCTCACAAAAAAACTATTTTTTTGAAAATTATAAGGCAGCGTTTAGATAATTTCACTTTGAGAAATTTTAGCACCTTCAAAAACTTTCTAGTCCTCCAAAAAAAGGGGCTACAATTTTTGAAATGACCTAATTTGATTGTTTTTGGAGGTTTTATTGGGCTTTGAAGGATCTTTTTGAAATCTAGGATTTTTCCAGGCTGTGATTTTAGTAAATTCAAGAAATTTCTGATAGAAATTTCTCAAAATTCCCCAGTAAAATGAACTTTTCTGTAAGCTTCATCGTTGTTCCAAGCTTCATCCCTTAAGTTACTCCTTGAGTTTAACCCCTCTAGTGACCTCTTCAGCTTCTCTCAGTCGCCTAGCTTCGCTTCCTTGGGTTCCAAGCTTCTCCTTAGTTCCTAAATACTTAAACAAATCAAAAATTCCCCTCAGATTGGCGATGGAGCGACTCCGACGCCGCGAGCCTCTCACTGAGAGCGAAGAGATCGAACTTGTTTCCAGAACTGTCGCCGAGAACCGAAAAGCCAGCGGACCAGTGGTTCGTCAGAGGATACTGTAGCTTTTTCGAGCATTCGTTTCAGGACCCAGACCGGGCCTTCTACGAGTGCTGCATCGACAGGAAGCTTCCCGACGCTTGCCTCTCGAAATGCACTTTCGGAGCTTTCACCAAGCAATCGGTTAGGGTTTTCTGGAGTTTTCAGAAAAATTCTATGTTTTTGAAGTGTCAGGGGTTATATTTTTCAGAAAATCTAGAAATTTCCTTGGAAGACTACGGTTTTTGAGCCCTTCACTCAGGGACGCCAAAGGGGTCCCTACGGGGATTAGGGACAAAAAATAACTCGGGTAAAAATAGGTGATCCTTATAGGGGTTCCGAGTGGATCCCTAAGCCCTTAAAGCTTAAGTGGTCCCTATAGGGGTTCTGAAAAAGAGCTCCTACAGTGGACAAAGAAGTGCCCCCTATAGGGTTGAAGTTTAGGTGGTCCCTTTAGGCTCTGACTTTTAAGCCCTTAAAGCTTGAGTGGTCCCTATAGGGTCTTTTTTCCCATTTGAAAGGGAACATGACGTTTAGGGACCGCTAGAGGGGCCATTTTAGAAAACTCTAATTAAATTTTTTTCACATGTTTCTAGACTAAATCGACTACGCTGAATCCCAAAATGACAATAACTTTTCGATTTGATGAAAAACTTTTTATAGTGCATTTAATAAAATATCTCAGTTCGCACACCAAAAATTTTTGTCAAGTTCCCCCTCCTTCCAAATTTTTTTGTCAAGGCCCCCATCCCCCCAGTTTGCGGCCGAACCGAGGTTATTCCAAGTATGTTCAATGCCTTCTATAAAAGGAAGTAGAGGTGGCCCTCTAGGGACCACTCTGGCGTTCCTAAGTACCTTTTTCTCAATCTTTATAGTTGTCTTTTTTTATTTTTCTACTTATTTCTCATGATTTTTCATAATTTTTCAGCTGACGGCCATGTACTTCAAACAAGACGCTTGTCCTCTTGAAGCCATGAAGGAAATGCAATTCTGCGCGGCTCAGGGACGGTAAGCTTCATTTTTAATCCAAAAATGATACGTTATAATTTTTTTGTTCATTTTGAAATTTTATGAGCAATAAAAAAACTGAAAAAAACCGGAATATTTTTCAAGTTCTACTGAAAGAAACCGCTTGAATCTTATCAATACGCTAAAAATTATTCACAAAAGCTTGAAATGTCCCTTTAGAATCTCGAAAAGGCTTAAAATTTCTTCAAAAAAAATGTTCTAAAGGCCTAAAAATCCCTTCAAAAAATGTTCAAAAGGCCTAAAAATCCCCTCAAAAAATGTTCTGAAGGCCTAAAAATCCCTTTAAAAAATGTTCAAAATGCCAAAAAATCTTCATAAGGCCTAAAAATCTTTCCAATATCACGTATACTCCTAAAATCTCTTTTATATTTCCAAAAGGCCTAACCGAAGCGCTTTAAAATCCCCTAAAGGCCTTAAAAATCCCTAGAAAAACCTCCCAAATGCTCTAGTAAATATTCAGTACTTTTCAAAAATCACAGAGATCAAAAATAACTGATTTTGGTCCATAAGAAACCCGAAATTCAGTGACCACCGTGACTGCTGCGCTAGAAATGGAGTGACGACGACTTTGGCCGGAGCCAAGTGTTTGTCTTTCTGCGATCAGCGATTGGGTGAGTTTCAAAAAAATATTTTAGACTTCTAAATATAATAATTAAGCCTAGATCGTAAAATTTAAAGTTATTTTCTGCTTTCAATCGAGTTCTAGTACCTTGAATCCACAAAAGAGTCTAATTTTTCAAAAAAATAATTCTTTGGTGAGTTACTTGAAAAAGCGCGCCCGACCCGAAACGACTTTCGCAGCTTTTTCTCAATCTCTGCGATCTCCAACAACGATATACTCTCTCTTTTCGTGTTAGGACCCTTTTTCGATGGTTAGAATCAGCTATGGTCATATTTGAGAAATCTTCATTTTGACTCGGACATTTCTGGGCATTTCTAGTGACCCCTTTAGTAGCGTCAGAACTCCTAAAGGCATAGGGGCAGTAAAAAATGGGGTCTCAGGTGAAAGCAGCATCTTATACAGTTTTTTATTGCGAATCGAATGGTGTACTCGAAAAAATTACAGATGTGACTAGGGTCCGCAAGCCATTTCTTCAGAATGATTCAAAAAATATGTTTTTCACATTGTTCGATAGGGGAGACTGTCCATTTTCATAATCCGTTTAGTTTTTGAAAAAAGGTTCACTAAGAAAAAAGTTATGGCCAAAAAACGAGCGCGCGCGGCGTTCAACTGGAGGCAAAATCTCACGGTTTACCCGCTGCCGCACGCTTTCTTTTTAAATGTTTTTGCGCGTTTCTGGACCGTTTTTAAATCGGTTTTCTGTTCTGAGAGGTTGTCCGAACTGAGCCTCATGTTTTGGTATGAATCTTTTGTACAATCCTCATAAGAAGTTTTTGATGAAATATCAAAAAAACTACCTAGAAAAAGGTCAAAAGGATTTTTTTCAGCTTATTTTTTTCTTTTTTTCTACTCAGAAAAAAATTATTATCATTCGATTTGGAAAAAAAGAAAAAAATGAAAAAAATAATGTTATTTCGAAATAAAACAGGAAAAAAGTGCAATTTGACTCCGAAAAAAACGGCTCCTGCGACATTTAAAAGGGCGCATCGGTGTGTTTGACGCAAACACTGCTACGGACACTTGCACGAAATCTTCCGAAATTTCAAAATTGCCATTTTTTTCGAGGATTTCAAAGCCGTTATTTTTTTCGCGTCGATCGATTTTTCATAATTTTTTTCATTGATAGAGTTTTTGAACGCTCAATAACCTGATCAAAAAAATGTAGACGCGATCCTATTCTCTCATGCGTCAACGAGGCAGGCGAAAAAAAGGAGGTTTTGGTAAAACTCAAATATAATTTGATTCGCTGTCCCAATAATTATTTTTCATTTTTGAATTTTTTTATTCTTGGACACACTGTTAGTTTTTTTAAATCAAATAAAAAGTATACCATGTCGCTGAAATTTTTTTCGCATTTCAGCTTCAAAGTTTGGTGTCACTTTACAAGCTTTAATATTTTTCGCGTCGGTAGATTTTTCATTTTCACTCAAAAATAAAGAAAGTGTTAATGTATAACATACTAAAAATTTAGAAGCGTTCCTCACTTGGTTTTTCTGAAACGCGACGATTTTGTGAAACTTGTCAGTTTTTTTCGTGTTAAATCTTACTTTTTTTCGCTTATTTTTTTGAAAAAAATACATAGTTTTAAAAAAATATTCAGTCTTGTAGAGCGTTGTCGATTACATAGGTTTTCAGAAACAGTTGATTTTTAAAGTGGGACTTTAGCTAGTATAAACGCCTCAAAACCGTTTTTGCAACAAAAAAATCGTCATTTTGGTGGCGTGAAGGGGCGGGGCTTTGCGCCCCCTAGATGTGACAACTCTAGAAGAAAAACGCGATTTTACTTTCCCGCCTTTAATTTTGAAAAAAGCTTTGGATCGGTATGCAGACAACTGTTTACAGTAGCCGTGCACGCGATGTTGCGGACATCTTATTAGACTCGCATTTTGTATGAAATAACCGGCTATCTGCTTCAAATTAAGGGTTTCTTCTCTGAAAAATTGATTAAGAAAACCGAAAACGCACACTGATAATAAAGAAAACACAAATAATCGCTATCCCAATCGAAACCTGTGTAAAATCATCATTTTTCACCAGAAAAGCTTTTTTGCGATCAAAGTTTGCAAATTATACGTGAATCGAAGGCTTTGTTGACGAAAAAAACTCTGGTGACAACAGAAAAAATTGAAAATTAAAAGAAACGAAGAAAAAAGCGAAAATCCGAAAAATGGCGAAGCCTGTTGTCCATAGAGCGACTTTACTGCAAGGCGCTCTTTTCGCGGGAACTCAAACTTTCCTGTCTCCGACTTTGAATTTTTTTTTCTCCAAAACTAGGAATTTCTGTACGTTTCCAAGTTCACCGTTCGATTTGCACTGAAAATCTCTACAAAATACTGCTTTGAACTGAAACACCGTTTTTTACTGCCCCTATGCCTTTAAGTGATCCCTAGAATCGCCCAGAAACCGGAGCACGTCCGAGAAAAAAAAGTTCAGGAAACGTTTCGAAATAATGATTTGAAACCTAGTTTTTTCATAAATTTTTCTGAAAAACGTCTTGATTCTCTGATTTCCAGGCCACCCCCAACAACTGGACATGTCCTACGTCCCCTGCTTTGACCGGTTCGAATCGATGAAGTCCTGCTTCTGGCACGACCTCACCCGATACTACCGAGCTTAAATTGTACACATCTCAATCATACTTCATTCACCGTTAGCTTGGGCCAAGTTGTAAAAGACGTCTGAAATTTTTCATAACTTTGACAAAAAGATGTATAGAGACTCTGAACCTCTTAATTTCACGCACTGTCTCACCAGAATGATCAATAATTGGCCCAAGAAAACGGTGAATGTTCCCAATCGCTTTATTATTCATCTCCATTTTTCGCGACTTGAAGCTGCTGTTTTTCTCTGCACCCTCCTCGTTTCTCGGCGACCCTCTCATGTTGATGTGCTATTTTTATGTTTCTCTGACCTCGGTGAGGGAACAGAGAGACGCAGACACTTTCAAATTGCGGTGAATGGAATATACCTACACATATGTTTTTATCATACCTCACACTGCCTGAATGAATTTTTTCACAAAATTAGAACTATTTATTGAATATTTTTCTACATTCATCAATTTCACGCCGATTGCTGTTCGACGAAGGCGCAGGAATTCAGAAGAGCGTCGATGAATCGTCGAACGTCGACGTAGTTGTTGTAGAGGTGAACCGGCGCAACTCGGATCACGTCGGGGTAGCGTTTGTCGACCTGAAAATCAAGTTATTGAACATTTTGCAAGTTTACGAGAAGAGAAAAACTTTCAAAATTTTTTTCCAAAGTTTGATAAATTTTTAAAAATATCAGATTTGCGAAAAAGCTAGCAGACGCGAGACCAAAAATCAATAATACATCGCAAAAAAAAAAAACGAAGCTGCCGGTTCCTTTAAAGTGGTCCCTCAAGTGGGGGTTTTTCTCAAATGACCACTTGAAGAAGGAGCCGAACACCTCCCAAGAGGTTGTGCGAAAAAAAAACGGTGTTCCAGGTAACACTATTTTCCTTCTGTTTCATTATTTCCTGTACTAAATCTTATGCCGTGTTCAATTTGATTCCGCGAAATGCAAAATACCCGTTAGAGAAAGGAAAAGATCACTAAATTTTGGAGAGTCAGAGATCTTTTTGCGTTTCGCGGAATCGAAATGAACACAGCAATAATAAAATATATTTATTTCAATTTCAAGAATTATCACCGACCGCCACACCGCGTTTGACCAGCTCCTTGTAGATCACATCAATAGGGACGTCGAATTTCAGCGAAAGTTGGCATCCTCTTTCGTTGAATTCCGATGGGGTAATGATTTTCACGCTGATCTTGCCGGCTCTGAAGTTTCAAACTTTGAGGAAATTTTTTCAAAGTACTGCGTTCAAAAGCGACTGTTTCAATTATACTGATTTAAAAAAAGTATCTCTTACCACATTTTTTCGATCTTAAGAAGCTCCTGATTAGATTCGGAATGCCTGAAAAAAGCGAAGATACCGCTTTAAAGTGCGCCCGATCCAAAACGACTTTTAAGCAAGATCGCTGGGAAGCATCAAAGCAAACTATAGTCTGTTCAGATTTTGAATTTCAAGTAGAATGACGTCATTCAAAAACACTCCATGGATGGCTCGCTCTCTGATTGGTTCATTGCGCCAATAGGGGCGGAGCCTACTCGACACTCAGGCACCGATTTTTTATTCAGTTGATTCTGACCGCAACGCGACCGCGACGCATCGAGCCATTCTAAAAGCCCAACTGACCGATGTTCCGAGTCCTTGTCGAAGAAATGCTTGACCAGGAACTCCAAATAACCCGTCAAATAGCAAGATCTTTTCCGCAAATCTTCCATCGACGTCATTTTGAACACCTGGATACCATTATTATGTTTTCAGGGCTGAAAAATGACCTCCAAGCTTGCTTTAAGAGGAACGACGAGGTGTATTGGCGGATTACTAATCCGATAGCCGGATGCGCCTTCATCTAGGTCTAGTTCTGGAAAAAAATTAAGTTATTTATAGGATATTTCTGGAATTGAGTAAAAACATTTATAATTTCTAACGAAAAACCTAAAAGGGCGATATTTGTTAGAAAATAAGTTGCTCCTAAATCAGAAAAAAATTGAGAATTTCAGTAGCCTAAATTAAAGTCTTTAGAATCAAAATTCCAGTTTTGAAGGTGATTTTTCAAAATTTTGAATCTTTTAGAGCCAAAAACACACGTAAGATTCGAATTTCGGCCACTTGGAACATTCCCTATTTCTCTGCGCTCTTTTTTTCTCGCCGATTTAAAAAAATAGGCCGTGAAAATGAGAGAGTCGCCGGGAGAAAAAGAGTTCACTCCAGAGCGGTCCCTATAGGGGCAACTTGATGCCCTTGAAGACTCCGCTTTTAGGGAACACTTTAGCCCTTCTTAATAAAACTTGCAAAAAGTGATCACTCAAGGGTTTTTTTATTTTATATACTTTATTAGAAGAAGCATTTCCACTTCTTCAATGATCTTTTTTTTGAATAATTATATTTTAGAAATTTTTCCGGCGATCTCTGGGTGAATACCAGCCATAAAATTGATTTTATTTACTATAAACGTTCAATCTCGCTTTTTACGCGTCGCTTTTTATGCATCGCGTGCATTGCGTACAACACATTTTATTTTCCGCCGTTATGGTGAGTGTGGCGTCGATTTGGTGTCGCCGTGAATGAATGATGGCGTGTTCATTGGAGAGACGGAACATGCTTCGAAACGAAAAATTGTGTTCATCGGTGCGCCAAAGTTGCTCAAAAACAGTACTAATTTTTGTTTTGGAGCAATGTTTTGCGTTTCGAAGCAATTTTCGTTTTGTCCGATGAACACGCCATGAAAAAATAGATTAACTTTTTCTTTTTACCTTTCAAATCGTAATTTAAAAATCCCTGTAGGGACCACTTAGGCTTTTTCAGTTTTTGATGAATTTTCTACATTTACGATTAGTACTCAAAAAGTCTAAAAAAACGAAATTCAGACTCAAGATCAATTTGAATTTTCTGAAGGTCGAAAAATCTCACGATTGCTCATTTCGAATCGGGTCGACATTTTGTGGCTCCACCAGCCGAGCATCCTCAGTCGCTGGTCAGTTTTGAACCTGAAAATCCCTTTTTTGGGCCGGAATTTTTGAGAATCTCAACCTCTCGTGAACAAAAAGACCGGCCAGGCCACCGGCGCCGGTACAGCCGTATTTATAACTGCACCAGCAGGCGAAATCGACGTCCCACCAGTGCAAATGGAGAGGAACGTTTCCGTAGGCATGAGCAAGGTCCCAGCCGACCAGGCAGCCCTGGAAAAAATTGTCAAAAATTCTTTGATTTTATTGAAATCCTTAGGAACGTCAGAGTGGTCACTATAGGGGTTTAAGAAAAAGAAAGGCCTATAGTGGGCAAAATAGTGCTCCCTAGAGGGCTAAAATTTAAGTGGTCTCTTTAAAAATTGAAAATCAGATCCCTCAGCCCCTGAAGCTTAAGTGGTCCCTATAGTGGTCGTTTAGTTTTTTGTTCTGATTTGAAAGTTTGAGGCCTTTAGGGACCACTAGAGTGGCCACTTTGAAAAGCTTTAGTGCACCTTATAGGGGAGCTTGAAAAGCCCCTCCAGTGACCACTTTGGTTTTCCTAAAAAAAAGTTCAAGCTCTGAATTTATCCAAATATTACAGGTTAACATCAAGATTGTGAAAACAAATGAAGTTTAAATTTTCGAAAATTTTTATTAAATCATCATTTTTCCCATTGAAAATTTAAAAAAATATTTTCTAACTAACTTCCTGAAGGATTCCAAGTAATGAAAATAAGACAAACCTTTCTATGGCCAGCTTCGGTGATGGCTTTAATATCGAAAAGCTGCCCGGTGTAGTACTGAATCCCACTCAAAAAGATGACGGCGATTTTATCGCCATTTTTCTCGATATGCTCAAGAATATCCTCTGTCCTGAGAGTGTATTCTCCTTCTCGTGGCTCCAGGCAGACCTTCAATCATAGGTTAAGTCATGAAAGTTTATTTTTCCGGGATGAAAACCATGCTTTCTTCGACATTTCTCCCATTGAGTTTGATTTGTGACTCGATGGCGTAATGGTCGGATGGGAAGGCCTTTGATTCCAGTAGAATCTGATGTCGTTCTTCGGTTGGTTTGTAGAAGGCGCTCTGAAAATTAAATTATGAGAAAAAATACCTGAAAAGCACGACTTTTTTTTCTAATTTGTGAGATAGATTGGCTGCAAACTAAAATTTAAAAAAATTGAAAAAACTGTGGTTTGTTTGCTCCATTGATAAACGAAACCGGATGGTACGACAAAATCTCAAGTCCGCAAATCTCGAGGACCGTAATCTTGTGTACGCAGATCTAAAGTCCCATAATCTTGGAAACCAAAATCTTGGAGACCAAAATCTTGGAAACGACAATCCTTCCGAAGTGCTCCGGACGTTTCTGGGCGTATCTAGGGATCATTTAAGAGTTCTGACGCCGCTAAAGTGACCACTATGAAGCTTGGAAACCTCCTCGACGCGTCCGCTTTGCGTTTTGAAATAGCCAGTCTAATTGAAGTAATCTCTCTAGCGGAGTTTTTTTTTGAAGTGGTCGCTTAAAAGGACCGATTAAGCATCCTTCATCAAGCACTCGGTTTTCTTTAAGTGGTAACTCTAGTGAAGTTTTTTTTTTTCTTGAGGGATCACTTAAGAGGACCGAACAAGCATCCCTCATCAAGCACTCGGTCCTTTTTAAGTGGCCACTCTAGCGGAAATTATTTTTTGAAGTGGTCATTTAAGAGGACCGATCAAGCATCCTTCATCAAGCACTCGGTTTTCTTTAAGTGGTCACTCTAGTGGAGTTTTTTTTTTCTTGAGGGATCACTTAAAGTTGACGACAACGGCTTCCGCTATGTCTCCGTCTTCGAATTCATCAGTTTAGTTTATCAATGGAGTCATTATTTTAAAATATTTCAAAATTTTGACTGAAAAAAAATTACCAAAAGAACATGAATATTAATCGTGAGGCCATTACAAACGGCGACTTCGTCTTTGGAAGCTCCGACGAGCCTTCCGACGTCTTCAAGACAATATTCATCGGCGTGAGCCCAAGGTAAGGTCGATTTCAAATGTCCGAATACTCCTCTGAATATTCAAATGACCACTAGTTTATTCAAATTTGAATAAATAAGACTCACAGCTTGGCCCACTGATCTAGTTGCTCGAGCATGAGCTTTTCGGTGAGCTTGGGCATGAGCCCAAGCGAATTCCCGCACAAGTAGATGCTATCTCTGTTAGGGTCCACTAGAGAGGGGTCGACTGAAAAATGGATTCTAGAAGAAACTCTTCATTTCTACGTAATCCTCTCCTATAAACATTCTACTTGAAAGCCTATTGAGATACTTAGACTTGCTGAACGTGCAATAAGACGCGCCGGACCAAAAACGACTTACGCACCGAGGCATAAAAAAGCGAGGTAAATTTTTTTTTTTTAATGCAACTACAACTTAAACGTGACGCTTCGAGCCATTTTGATTGCGACCGAAAAAAAATAGTTTCTAGTTAAAAATCCAATGTAAACGTAAACATGTGATCAACTCGACTTGGCTTGGAATAGTCTGCCCTGTCTGTGCTCTCTTGTTCTCTCAGCACTTCACTAATTTTCAAAAAAGCTAATGAGAAAAATCATAGTTAAAAAAGAAGGATTCATGAAACTAAAAAATAAATGAAATTTTCCTACCATCAGGCAGAGTTGCGCACTTTGGATAGTGAAACTGGTCCCTCAAGTGTTTCAAAGAGTCGCTGTCGGTCAGAATCTTCGCCAAGGTAATGTCTGTCAGGTCGGTTATATTGTTGGCCTTAGAACATCAAATTTTATCAAAGCAAAAACTTAAAAAACTCACATCAGCAGTTTTCTGTAGAAACTTCATGACCTGAGCCATGGTCCGGCTTGGAGTCTCTTCAGGGGCTTCCGTCATTTTTTTATTTTCTGAAAATATTAAATTTTTGGAACTTTACTTGGAGAAGATAAAGGGAAAAGTTGAATTTTCGTGTGCTTTTTCCGAATTTTTCAATCAAATTTAAGTATCACGAACTATTTTTTTCTCATATTTTTTGATAAGAAATGATCAATGAACGAAAAATTAAAAAGGCTGATAAAAATTTTTTTGAAAAACATATGGAAAGTTTAAAGAAAACTTGATAGGATTTGAATTAAAAAAATTAACTGATAAAAGCAGATTTTTTTCTTTTTTCCGTGTTTTTTTCAGTTGAAAATTCAGATTCCCATAATTTCACAGGGAAACCAATTCTATCAGTCGTAAGTAAAAAAACCAGCTTGATAAAACCAAGCATTTTTCATGGATCAAACACAAAATTTTCAATTGAAAAAAAATATGAAGAAGAAGAAAATATTGAAAAAGTCCGAGTCTGCGTGTTGAAAATTGATATTCCCAAAATATTTTTCAAAGAAATCAAAGTTAATGATGAAAATGAACTGAAAAAAAACTAAGCTTTTCATGGTTCGAACGCTAAAATTTCAATGGAAAGAAAAATGAAGAGAAAAAAAAATTTGTGAAATCCAATAGTTTTCGGTTTGACCAAGGGCCGATGTTGCCAGAACTGCCATCGCGGCCCTTATCTTTTTATCAATCATCGCCTTCTTTCTTTATGATCAATTTGACCAGACATGTTTGGTTTTTTTCTTGAATTGGACTACAAACTAGAGAATCTGTGAAAAAGACGAGAGATTGATTGCCGGCGATGTTAGTATTTCTTTGAAACACATGACGTCTGAAAAATTTTTTTTATTGAAATAAAAAAATTCTTTCTAACGATAAAAACATATATAAAGAGCCTGAAACTGAATAAATTTTCGAAAATTGAAAACTAAATGAAATTTGATAAAAAAAAATCACTACGAAGAAATTGTCATTGAAGAGAAAAATCGATGAGAGAACAGAGTTCAAAAAACTAAAGAGTCTCTGAGCGAGAAACCGCTCGTCTTTCAGTTTTTACTACGGACATAAAAAACGAAAGGTTTTCTGTCGGTTCCATGATAGTATGAATTGGAATAGGGCTTTTCCAAAGCAGCGTTGATGAAGGTCTGGAAAAAAAAACGAAGGTTAATAATATCAATCAAATTCAAACCGTATAGTTGCTTTGTATGGAGCCATAATCGGCGAGTATGTTGCCAAACACGTGGAATCGAAAATAAGAAGAAGAAATGAATATTTGTTCTTTACTCACTGCGGTTTGAACTGAAAATCTTTCCACAGAAGAGTGTGTGAGCCCCAATGGTCCTTTCCATCAAAGTCGAGAATTCCTGGACGGTTTTCAAAATGAAAGCAAGCCAGAAACATGAAACCTAATGGAGGCGAGTGAGTGATCAGCACATCGACATCTCTGGGAATCGAATTCCAAGCCCGAAGCTCTCTCTTGTTATTCCGGTCGAGGTAAAACGGATAACCCGACTGGAAATGGTACGGCGTTCCGAAGAACTTGACGCCGTCGATCTAGAACTCCATAACCTTGAATATGCGATTAATAATGCTGACTTAAACTTCTGAAAGCCAAGAAGTGTTTCATTCTGATTCTCAATTTTCTAACTCAGGCACGCGTCAGAATTCTGGCTTTTTTTTTTGCTTTTTGAGTCGAAAAACTTTCTTCAAATGCGTTATAATTTTATTAGTCTCTTTTTTTTCCTTTTGAACCTGTTTTTAGCCCTTCTGTGCTTTTCCAAAAACTATGTTTGAATGAAAAAGAGTTTCATGCGTTATATTTATTTCGAACCTGAGAATCATTGATGAGAAAATATGCATATAAGTGAAAAAGGCTTTTTTTATCAGCTTATGTAATTTTTTTTTTGCCAAGAAAACTGATTAAAAAAAAACGTACCACCACAGCCTCATCGTGAAGATAACGGGCATTGGTCAAATATTTGAAGCCATTTTTAGTTCCTCGACCGGTTCTATCTCCAGCTCTCAGAGAAAGGTCTTCAACTGGGTCGAAACCAAGTTCCCGATGACCCGCTACGACCAACTTGTGTCGGAACTTGAGTTTTCCTGAATTACAATTTTTCGTTTCCATTTAAAATTTTGCAAAAGTACAGAAAAATTTTTTATTTGAAATCGAAACAAATTTATAAGATTTTAACGTTTACCGCTTATAAGTAAGCTTACCCAGAAAAGTATTGAACTTGACAATTTCATCGCTTGTCCCAAGACTTGTGAAGTCCCCTGCGTGAATAAAAACATCGCCTTTGTTGTATTCGGGCTGTAAAAAAAATTTATAAAAAAACGTTTTTTAATCAATTACTTCATCCATCAACAATTGAAACTGTTGGTTAACTTTGTGTGTGTCGGAGACGACAACAACTTTTAAGTGTTTATATGGATATTCGTAGTCCGGTTCGGCAGAAATAGAAGATTGGCTGAAAAGTAAACTATTAGAAATTTGTCAATTTTAAACTTTCAAACAAATTAATTTTTATGAAGAGTTTTTGAATTTCTGATCTTTTTTAGAATCTTTAAAAAGCAGTATTTGAAAAAAATCTTCAAAAAAAGAGCATTATTATTAGAAAAATTGAATCGTGAATGTCGGCATTGTCTCCGTGTCTCCTGTGATTGATATCTTTTTGAAAAAAGTTATCCAATTCGAATAAGAAACCTCGAAATTCATGACCAATAAGAGCTGCGATTTTTAAAATAATGAAAAAATCAGGAATCATGACGACAGCAAAAATTGGAAAAGACTTACTCATCCGAGCAGCAGGTTCGATTCAAATCATAATTCGAAAGAATCGGTTGAATTGACTCCCACTGGTTGTTTGCCTGGGCAACAGTGCTATCATTACCGTAAACGGAATGAAGAGCAAAAATGTTGCATAAAAGCAACAGACGGATCATCACGAGCAATGGAAAAATTTGAGAGAAAGAGAAGGGAAGCAAGGACCGTCATTAATCATTTTGGAGCAGAAGAAAAAAAAAGAACCGACTTTTTTTTACACTTTTCGGAAGAACATTCAATGCACTTTTACTCCTCGGTTTCCTGCGAACGAAACTGTTTTTTTTATAGATTATAGTCTGTTCAGATGTTTAATGTCAAGTGCAATGACGTCATTCAAAAACACTCTGTGGATGGCTCGCTCTCTGATTGGTTTATCACGTCATTAGGGGCGGAGCTCGAGCGACGACTTGACATTCAAAATCTGAACAGACTATAACAAATTGAAATACTAAAATTTATGTAAAATTTTGGTCGTATGAAAAAAAAGACCAGCGAAAAATCGAACGGCGAATTTTCCAATTCTTTCATGCAGCTAGGGAATTTTCCGACGAATCTCTTTCCGACTTTTTTTCGATAAATTCTCCGTTTTGAATCTTTCTTTATAAAGTAGGTAGTTGGATCATAATAAAATCAAAAAAAAAAAAATGTGAATAGATGTTTTATAAACCAAAAAAATTATAAGGGAAAAAGGTCGGAAAGGTGGCCGTCGGAAAGTTCCCTGGTAATATGAAAAAATCGGAAAGTCCCCGTTTTAAAATTCGCTAGCTTTTTTTTTTCATACTACCGAAAATTTTAAGAATCACCTTTTCCAAAATATCATGCCATTTCTACATTTATCTCCTGCCTTTTTTTCAAACAAACTTTCTGGAATCGGACATCCAAGAAATCGAGAAACCAAACTTTTTTATAAACTAAAGTTTATTCTCTAGAATCCAACAATCGAAATAATTAAACGAACAATTAAAAAGTTTCAAAAAGGCAGGAAAAGACAAATTTATGAGAAAAACTAATCAAAAAGTCAACCGAGTTGATTTTTTTCGACAATTCTACGACGGACATAAAAAACGAAAGGTTTTCTCTCGGGATCAAGGCCTATCGGTGGGAAAATAGGCTTCGTCAAGGCGGCATTGATGAAAGTCTGGAAAACTCGAGAATATTTTGATAATTTTCAAAAAAAATTGAAACCGTATCGTTGCTTTTGATGGCACCATACCCGGCATGTACATGGCCGAACACGTGGAACCTAAAATTGTCTAATTTTTTGTTTTTTCTTTATTTTCGAACACGATTTAGCTTGAAAATTTTTGAAAACGGCAAGATTACGGTGTAAAAAAATATCCTTCTTTCAAAAAGAGAAATGAAAAATGAAACCGAGGCTCGAAAAAAGCCAAACTTTTCAGCAAAAAAAAATTATATTTTTGAATTTCGAATCTTACATTCTCAATATATTTTTTTTTCCCTTGCTTTACTACATTTTATTTCATTTATTGTACCAAAAACTACAGATATCCATTGAATCGTCAATTTACGTATAGAAAATTTCTTGATAACTTTTCGATTTTTAAAAAGATAAAAAGTATAAAAGTATCAGTTGTTGTTGGTTTATTCCAATATCGTATTTTCGTGTGATTTCAAAAAAAAAACCTGAAACTTTCAAATTTGATAAATTCCGAAAAAACCCACTCCGGTTTGAATTTCAAAACTTTCCACAGAAGCTTATTTGATCCCCAGCGACCTTCTTTTGCAAAGACGTCCAGAATTCCTGAATAAATCGATTTTTGAAACAAAAAAAGTTCAACCTAACGGAGGCGTGTGGGTGATCAAAACATCAACGTCTCTCGGTATGACATTCCAAACTCGGAGCTCTTTTTCGTCGAGCCGGTGCACATAAAAGGGAAAGCCTTTCAGAAAATGGTAGGGCGTGCCGAAGAACTTTGACGCCGTCGATCTGAAATCAAACTTTTTTTCAGGTCAAAATGGAATCAAAGTGGTACAGCTCTTTTCGCGCTAGCTTGTCACAATTTTTTATTGGTTTGACTCCGACCTAAAACAATTTAAAAAGTTCGAGAAACCTTCCAAGAATCTTCCCTACGCTGCGCGAGACACGTCACGGGCATCGAAGAAAAGGTTCTGTGGACCGGAATTCGTTTTATTTTGCGGTGAAAAATGATGAAAATTAAAAAAGAACATTGGGAAATTGGAGAAATGTTAACTGCTTTATTCAAAGTCCGCAAATTGAGCGCAACTCTAAAAAAAAGTTGCGGTTCACACGCGTCGAACTTTCGTTGGCCCCCGCAGTGTAACCTGGCTCGTGGAGAGCGCAGAAAGGACACGCCTTCTTAGTGCCCCAAGCTGGCCGTGAATCAGCTATATTTCCGACCGGTTGCCCCAAGGGTTCACCCCACTCAATTCCAACGCGGGGTGCAGCGCGAAAATCAACGAAAAGTTCACTTTTTTCGGGGTTCACTGCGGGGTAGACTCTCATTTTTGTTAGAGAAAAAGGTAACTCCGTATCACCAGATTTGATACCGTAAGAAAGTCGTCATGAAGATATACAGCATTGGTCAAAAGCGAATAGCCATTGATGGTTCCTCTACCGGAGTCAAGAAAAGATCTTTGCGATAAATCTTCAACTGGGTCGAAACCAAGCTCGTGATTTCCGGCCACCACTATTTTGTGTGTAAAGTTGAGCTTTCCTGAAAAAAAAATGTTTTTCTGGTGACCTTCTTTTTTCTCTCAGAAGCTTCATACGTGGGAAATTTTTTCTAAAAATCCTCAAAAGCAGCTCAAAAATCCGTAAAAGCTCCTAGGCCGATGGAAAAGACGTTAAACGCGTTTTTAACCATTTTTTTCAGATAATTTTTTACAGAAATAAACGAAAAGAAAGCAAAAATGACGTGGAAAGATCTTTTAAATATATTTTTCTGAGATCTTTTCCCGTTTTTAACTCACCCAAAAGTTCATTGAACCTGACAAGTTCCTCACTTTCCCCAAAATCGGTAAAATCGCCAGCATGGATGAAAACATCGCCATTGTTGTACTCGGGCTATAAAAACGTAGGAAAATTCTTGGGATTTGTTTATAGTCTGTTCACGGCTGGCTTCGAACACAAACACATTTGAAATTTTCTACGGCTTCCAAAATCACCCGGTTTTTTTTCAAGGTATTTTTTCAGATTCTCACAAGCCAGCCATGAATTGGCTGAAAAATAATTACATCGCTCATCAACTTTTCCAAATCGTCGTTGAAAACCGTGAGTGTCGGAAACGGCGACAACTTTTCAGATATTTGGATCGGTAACGCTCATTTGGTTCAGAAAGAATGGTCGACTGACTGAAAATGACAATTCTTTTTGAATACGCCGCAAAACTTGCTTCGCCTTGGAGCAGCAGACTTTGTTGAACACATAATTCGAAATAAACGGCTGAATCGACGTCCATTGCCTCACGGTCGCGAAGCTCGTTTCATCGATTTCGCAACTGACGAAGAAAATTGCGGAAAAGTTGAATAAGTACAGCAGAAGGAACATCGCGAACGAGCAGGGAAGAAAAAATGGAACGAACCCCGCGAAGGGAACGGAGAATCGTTTATCATTCCGGAACAGAAGGAAAAAGTGCACCTAACAATTGTTCCTACACTTTTCTAGGGGTAATTTATTGCTTTTTTACTGTTTTCCAGGTTCTAAGCAGAAAAGAAGCGTAGGTTTGAGGGAGATTGTAACAAAAAACGATTTTGAAACACCGAACATTGGATGAGTGACAGAAAAACATGCAGGTAAGTCTAGGCGGAAAAAGATTTTTTGGATTGAAGTCTAGATTTTCATTGGAATCTCCATAGAACTCGTATCAGTAGCAGAAAAAAATGAACAAAATGTCAAAAAAACTATATAAAAATTGTTATCGAAATTGAAATTCCGAGTAGAAATTTGAAAATTTGATTTTTGTCTGACGTTTTTGTGAAAAAAATTGATATCAAATTGAAGTATTTCTGCTCTTTAAGTTATTGGAAACAGACTTTGAATAAATTCAAATATTTTTTTCCCAGAAATTTCCCCCTAAAGGCGAAATTTCAAAAAAAAATCTTTTTTATATGTCCACATAAGTCATGACTCTTACTACAAAAAAATGGATTATAGCAAAATGATATGAAAAAAATATGATATAAAAACATTTTTTTCGCAAAAAAAAACAGAACATGAACAACATAAAAAGCTCTTTTATTCAATACATTTGTCAAAAATTATTCCCAAGTTTTTCAAGTTTTTTTCCTCTTATTTGCCCATTCCCCACGGGAAGATCTCATCGCCCAGCTTCGGATCGCCCCAAAATTCTGAAAAATTTGAATCAAAATTTTTTTAGATTTTTTTGATGAAAAAAACTAACGTTTCTTGTGCATTCTGGACTGGTAGTCGTCAAAATCGGCGCTTTTCGGGGCTAGCCCTGGAAAAAAGTTCGTTTCAAAGTTTTTTTTTTGAAGATTATCATACTTGAAGGAAAACCAGTCATCTCTTATAATTCTATTACCTGTTTCATAACTTTTTGTGTCATCAGCAAGGTTTTTCGGAAATTATTAATCATTATGAACTTATTAACAAGTCTGTTTATCATCTGGTAATTCTAAGTAATGATGCCAACAAAAAATAATAGAAGGAAGTTATCTTCAATTATTCAAGTCTTATCATCATTGGAGCGGAAAAAAACTGTCTTAATTTTTGAACAAAATGAAAAAAATCTATATGCCTTTGCAAGAAAAAAATAGCTGTAAAGTTTGGAAAACTAAGAAACTCCTCCTGACTCATAGAGAATAAAGAGAAGAAGCTTAAAAATGCTTTTTTCGAACTTGCTCCAGAATAATGATTTTTTTAAGCTTCCTCTTCCTTCATTTTTTTCAGAAAAATATGCTTCTACAATAAATTTTTTTAATTTTTTTGATCCCTTTTACTTGTTTTCAATTTATTTGCTCCAGTTACTTTCAAAAAGCAGTGAAAAAAACAGACATGGAAATCCTGGTCGTAGCCTGACGGGCCAAATCGGCTTGGACTCGTAGTTTTCCGGCAAGACGTACCCATAGACGGCGACGAAAAGGAGCAAAAAGGCCAAAAACGTCCGCATTTTCTTGTAGAACTGGAATTACTTGTTTCAAACATGTTTGAAAATCACTTTCAGCTGTTTTTATTACGTATAAACAAATTAGAAGATTTCAGGAGCGTTTCGCGCTAAAAGACCTTTAGAAAAAATTGAAACTTTTGAGCGTTCTTATAACTTTCGGGTTCTTATTACGTAGAAACAAATTAGAAGATTTCAGGAGCGTTTCGCGCTAAAAGACCTTTAGAAAAATTGAAACTTTTGAGCGTTCTTATAACTTTCGGGTTCATCTGAATCGGGAGCAAGGTTTAAGATTTTCTAATTCATTTTAAAACAAAAAAGATTATGGAAATGAGACGTGAATAATTAGAGTCGATAACAGAATGATTAACGAATATTTGTCTGAATAACCTCAACTAATAGCCCTCCTTTAAATACACTCACCCAATTAAAATGGGCGGAGCAAGAAAGGGAAATGAGAAATATACGCAAAAAAGGACGAAATTGCAAGAACAACAAGATAAGCACCCAACCACACGGAATAACAATGAACCAACGCAAAAAAGTCGCGTTTTTTGAAGTCTACATTAAAATTTTGTTCAATTGTATCCGAAAAACCAAGCGCCCACGTACCGTAATGTCACGCGAAATGCAAGGAAAGAAAATGTCTGGCACTCTCTGAATGAAAAATGGAGTGAAAAATATGTATTTTTGTACTTTTGATTCTAGGAATTGGAGGCACTTGTCTTCAAAAAAATCTAATGAACGCTCATGGGCGAGAGAAAATTTTTAGAAGCAAAGATTAAATTCTGAAGACGAAAATATTCTATCCAATTAAAATAATATTCTTTACCTCAAAAAAAGTTTAGATAAGCAATATTTTACAATAATGAAAGCTAGCTCAAGCTCAAAAGTTCAACACAACATTTTTTTCAAGTTGAAATTGTGCAAGCTCGCGTCAGAGTGTATGGAATTTTCAATTTTCAATATTTTTACTCTCAAATTCCAATTTTTTCTGATTTTATATTTTTTTAATCGTTCTTCTGATTGTATTTACTTTGAATTCAATTAGTTCGATTTGCTTCTGTTCATTCCATCAATGCAGACTTGCAAAATATTTTATATTCGTAATAATTCTCTTGCAAATTATGAAACGTTTTTGAATGATGATTACGCATATCACAACTTTTTCAGCTTGCAAAGAAGCCCGAATGATGGGGGTTTTAATGAATGACACATTCAAAAGATGACTTTAACTTTACATGTGAGGAAGTTTTAGGAATGTTAAAATAGGAAGTAAAAGTGAAGTGTGGGCGAAAAGAAATGAAAAAAAAATCTTGAATAGTCAGTTGGAATAAGAAAAAATGGGCCAAGAGATGATTGAGTATTTTCAAAAGCAATTTTGAAGTAAATAGCGCGAAAATAAAGCTTTTTTTGCAAGATTTTTCATACTTTGACACCGTTTTTTTGTTTTTGCATTATTTTTCTTTTTTTGTCCTCCAAATTTCGATTTCCATACAATTTTACGCGTTTTCAGTCGTTCCGCGGCTCAAAAAAATCCGCCCGTTTCCATGGCAACTCGGCCAACATTGCGCGCTTTTTCCATCAGCTTTTGCAAATTTTTTCAAATTTTTCACCATAAAGGTTACTTTTTATATGTTATTATCATGTTTTTTTGTCATGTAATTTGTTAGAAAATTTTATTAAAAAAAGCAAAAAAATAGTAGCTTTTTTCTCGAAATTCCACTGAAAAAAACGACTTTGGGCTTCGAGTTTCCTTTGAAATATGTGTTATTTAAAAATATCGTGCCAAGAATTTTTTTAGAAAAACTATTAACTTAAGAATGAAAATAAATGTAAAATTGCCGTGAAATGTTTTTTTGGAACGAGTTTATGAAGAAATTTTGTTCAATTTTTAAGCTAAAATTCTCGAATTTTGTTTTTCATTTCCTATCCCTTTGCTTATAAAAAAATCGTATTTGTTTAAAATAGTTATTATTTTTCAAAAATTAAACAAAATGAAGGAAGTTTAGCGATTTATAAGATTTCTTTCCATATGAACTCATTAAAAAAATCACCGTTTTTTTCTCATTTTTTTCTGTTGTTTCTTAGACTCACAAAACAATGAAATTTCTAATCAGAAAATAGTGGAAAATGTTTCGAAATTCGAAGAAATAAACAACTTTTTCACTGAACCTTATACGAGCTTTTTTTTGCACCTGTTTCATTTTTTCTTTGAAAAAGGATATTTTAGTAATGATGTTATGTTGATAATGTTCCAGAAAAATGAATATTTGGGACTTGGCCAAGGAAAAATTGGTGGAAAATAAGGAAAAAGCGGCCCAACTCGAGCAAAAGTTGGACGATGAGGCGGCGGCAGACAGTTTTTGTTTGTTTAATTATTTTTTTCTTTTGTTCTTAAAAAGTTTGGCGGGAGTTAATAGATCAGATCATCATTGAAATTTTTTTGAAAAAAATCGATAAAAAAATTGGGAAAATTACAGTATCCGACGTGAAACGACGTCACACTTCACACATCGTCATTTGCGGCAACAAGAAAAGTGTTCGGATTTTTTTAAAAAAATAAAATCGGTAGAAGCTTTTGGAAAAGTTCCAAGAAATTCCTGAACTTTTTTTCCTCGAAAAAAATGCTTGAGATTACCTCATTAAAGGTAAAAATTCAGTTGAAAAATTTTTAAAATAACTAGGATTTGTATCATTAAAATTTGTGAAAATGACCCTAAAAAAATCGGTTTTTACTTGATTTTTTTCACTAAGAAAAAAAGCTTGAAAAAAATTTATTTTTTTAATGAATTGCGAAAAAAATTCTAGTGGTCACTTAAGAGGTACCTTAAGGGCTTCTCGAAGAGGGCACTAAAAGGACCACGAAAACCACCTATCTAGAAGCCACTATTTTCCTTCTTAGTGGCCACTATAGTGGTTCAGTAGTGCCATTGTGAGATTTCTAAAGACGCCACTGGAGTTTAGCCTCTTAAGTGGCTACTTATTCGGTTACTACAGTGACCACTGAACCGTTAAAACCCTATAGTGACCACTAAAAATTTCTCAGTGTAAATCAAAAAAATCAAAAAACCCACCGAAAAGCTGCGTAACAGCTGAAAAATATCGCTCTCGCTAGAGAATTTTATTCAAAAAATACAAATTTCCGTTTTCGGCGTCAACATTTCCTTGACGACATAAATTGCATATTCAATTTTGTTTTTTAGGGCAAATCCTCTCTTCAAATGAATTTCGTCGAACGGAAAGAAGAACTGAAAGAAGCGGTCGGGTTGGAGTTTTCCTACGCGAGGAGGACCAGGGGAAATGTTCGGGAATATTGAATTTTTTTGAACTCTAAAGTGGTCCCTATGGGGTCAAACTCAGGGGCCATCTATGGACCATTTTACGTCCCCCTATAGGGGCCACTTAAGCTTGCAAAAGTATACCAAAAATCTAAGTTTGACCCCTACGGGGTGCACTTTTTTGTCCCCTATAGGGACCCCTCTGGCGTTCCTAAGATGTTGTGGCTTGTTCAGATTTTGAATGTCAAAGTTGTCGCCCAAGCTCCGCCCCTAATGGCCCGGTGGACCAATCAGAGAATGAGCCATTCATAGAGCGTTTTTGAATAACGTCATTCTACTCGTCATTCAAAATTTGGACAGTCTGTAGTCTGCTTTAACGCTTCTCAATCCTTCTGCGCGAAAGCCGTTTCTGGTCGGGCGCCCATAAAAACAGCTGCTTCCCTTACTTGGGACAAACTGTAGTCTGCTTTAACGCTTCCCAATCCTTTTGCGCGTAAGCCGTTTATGGTCGGGCGCACTCAAAGACAGTTGCTTCCCTTTCTTGGGACAAACTGTAGTTTGCTTAATGCTTTTAAGCAAAAGTCGTTTCTAGTCGGGCGCACTTAAAGGCAGCTGCTTCGCTTCCTTCACAGCTCCAGCCATTGAAAATCTAACTAGGGTCTTCAAAAGAACGAAAAAAGAAAGAAAAAACAAATATACACGAGTGATAATGAACTCGAATGGAGGATTGAAGGGATTCGTGAAAATGAAGTAAAAAAAATAATTTCTGACAGGTGAAAGATGTGGCCAATTTGTGGGAACTCGGCGGTGGCCACGAACTATCTTCCTTGTTGGCCTTGCCTTTCAAACCCGAGAATTTGGAGTGAGTTTTGATAATACCACAATGAAAGAACTATGTACTCGTAGCTCTTAAAACGAGGATTCCAATGGTATAAAAAAATAAAAAAATACCGGAATTTCTTGAATATACTTGAAAATGAAGGAAAATAAACATAAATTGGGGTCAAAAAATGACATGGAAAGGGCGGGCAAAATTATTTTTAGTGATCTTTTTTTCAAATTTATCCTTCAAAAATCGTCATTTTTTTATGGCTCAATCCATTTTTTTCATGCGAATCGCTTCTATTATTTTCGAAAATGGAACGATTTTTCGATTTGAAAAAGCTTTTTCTTTAAGAAATATGACCTTTTTTTAAATTCAAAAAGTTTTTTTCAGCAGAACAAGCAAGAAAAGGGCAAGAAAAATGAGCGTTTTTTTGGTAAAAAAACAAGCTTTTTTTAAGTTTAAAAAAATGTACCTTTATTGAAAATTTGAGAGAAGTAGTCAAAAAAATCGCTAAAATTGAGCAAAGCGTGTTTTTTTAACAAGTCAAAAAGTGTCGTAAATTATAATGTTTAGGGTGTAAGCACACCACGTCGCACTTTCGCATACTCTAATTTTTTTTTAATATTTTTTTTGAATTTGCACTTTTTTTTTGAGATGATAGTTCATGAGTTATGCCAAGTCTTGTCAGTTTGAAGAATATGAATTTTAAAAAAAACATGCAAATTCATTAAAAACGAAAAAAGAGCTTTTAAAATCTAAAGTATGTACTTTTTCTCAAGTATTTAAGGGTTTCCAGGAGGAAAAGTCACGGAAAGGGCAAGAAAATGAGCGTTCCTTTTCCTGAGTCACCCCAATTTTCATTTTTCATTAGCCAAACTCCTTAAATACCCTTCCCATTTTTCAGTGTCAGTTCCATTTTCCTCGTCCTGGACCTGACGAAACTCGAAGAACTTTGGACGGTCGCTGAAAATCTTCTGGAATCGGCCCGGAGAACTATAATAGCAGCTCAAAAAGGACAAGTCGAGCTGCAGAAGAAGCTCGAGTTGAAGACTCTGAATAGGGTCGAGAAATATGAGGTGATTTGGAAAGTTTAGAAAAGAAAACTTTCTGGAAAAGTTTTGTACCTTTCTGAATCCGATTTTTTTAATAAATATGTCATTTTTTTCAGTTTTTCATGAACTTCAGATTTAAAATTTTTAGTAGTCTAGCAGTACAACTTAGGCTTCTAAAGGGGTCACTAAAATTTAGCCACTCAAGGGGTCACTAATCCAACTACTGTAATGATCACTAAAACGTCAAATCCCTTACGTGACCACTACGATTTTTGCAGAAGGGCGAGTTTTCCATTTTTTGCAGAGTACGGTATGACAAAGTCCGCAATTAGCGTGTTTGCACATTCTTATGGTACCGTCTTCCATTTTTGTTCTAAATTTAATCGAAGTTGATAAAAACTGTAGGAAACAGTTGAACTATCCGTTACTCAACTATCCGTCCTGATTGAAAATTAAAAAAAAAGAATTTTCAAAAAAAAGGAAAAAAAACGCGGGACAACTTATTATGTGCAAACACGCACACGCCGAATGGCTTTCACTTACCGTAATCCTCAGAAAATGAAAAATCGCCGCCATTGTCAAAGCACCAATAAACTATATCTTTTCAGGAAGATCAACGACTTTGCTCGCCCCTCCCGATCCCGTTGACGATCGTCGGCTCCAAATACGACGAATTTCAGAATTTTGAGCCTGAAAAACGGCGGCACGTCTGCCAGTTCCTGAGGTTCTTGGCCCACTATCATGGCGCCAATTTGATGGTTTTTTTTTGAGTACTGATCTATAGAATGCGAGGGCCGGACCGCCCGTTTTACTCTTGGTCCGGGCTGGCCTGGCCCTAGCAAGTCCTCAAGCGAAAACGGGCCAGCCCGGTTCAAAACGCGCATTTTTCGCTTTTCTCTTGAGTTCCGCAGTGAAAGAGCATTTGAGAAAGCCTGTACGAGGGTCAAACCGCCCTTTTTACTCAGAATCCGGGCGGGCTCTGCCCTAGTGAGTTCCCATGCGAAAACGGGTCAGCCCGGCAGAAAGAGGAATTTTTTGACATGTTCCTCGAATTCGGCGGCTAGTGAATCTCAAAAAAAGCTTGTGCGAGGGCAGGCCCGCTCGTTTTACTCAAAGACCGGGCGGGCCTTGCCCTAGCGAGTCCTCAAGCGAAAACGGGCCGACCCTGCCAAAGAACACTTTTTTTTTTACTATTTTCATGAATTTTACGGTTAGCAAGTCTTAAAACGAGCTTGTGCGAGGGCCAGTCCGCCCGCAAACTATCTTCCCGGGCCGGCCCTAGCGAGTCCGCAAGCGAAAACGGGCCATCCCGACCTGAAAAGCGCCATTTTTCTTCTTTCACTTAAAATGATAGTCAGAAACCATGGTCGCATACAGAATGACTCTAGCGGTCGCCTTAAAGTGCGCCCGACTCGAAACGGCTTGCGTCTAGTTGCGAGCCTTGAAAGTTTTGAGGCGTTTAAAATGCCACCAAAGCGTATGTAATTGAAATTGATTTTTTTCTCAATGTACGCGGGTTTTTGAAAATTTTGCGAATGGTACAGCTCTAGATAGTCCAAGTCCTGAAACTTGAAAGTCATTTTTAGGGAAAATTCAGTTTTTTTTTAAATTTTTCATCTTCTTGGTTTTCTCGAAATTCCCACATTTTCTAACTTCTTATTGATCAAATTTTTGGAGATGAGGCTATTTTTTTAATTATTGGAAAAAAATGTAAATTTTTACATTTTTTTGTTCAATTCATGAAACGTTGAAGTCATTTCTTCACATTATTTCAGTTTTTTTTTTTTTTCAAATGCATTTCCGCATATGAAGAAACTTTTTGACAAGACGTTTAAAAAAATTTATTCAAAACCCATTTATTCAATTCATGAAACGTTGAGGTCATTTATAGGGAATATTAAAGATATTTCAAAGGTTTTTTGACTTTTTGAAGGCCAAATTTCGCAGATTGTGTTGACATTGGAAAAAATGAAAAAATGATATTATTTATACAATTTGTGAAACGTTAAAGTCATTTCTAAAGAAAAATCCAGTCTTTTTTCTAAATGTTCTGCAGATGTACTCCTCGAAGATGGAGCAATTCGGCCGGATCGTCAAAAATATGATGAGTCATTTCGCCTTCGGTACAGTGTGCCCTCAAGGGTACATGATCGACCATAATCGGCCGATTTTCGTCAAATGCGGCATGGATTCTTTTGAGGTTCTTAGATTTTTAGATTAAAAATCGAAAAAAAAAAGGTCGTTTTTCCAGGCGATCGGCGCCCCGCCAGCTTCAGAAACTTCATTCATGAGAGCTTCGAATCCTTTCGAACTATGGAAAGACTCGTTTTTGGCCTTGTTCCCTCAGAAAGTGAGAAAATGTGAAAAAAGGACCTGGCTTTAGGGCAATTTTGCTCGAAAATTAAGCTTTTTTCGAGTTTTTACTATAATTTTGGGTGATTTTGATGATTTTTGTCATAACTTATGGATAATTTCATCATTTTTCGAACCCTATTGAGCTCTTGAAAGACAATTTTTACCATTTGTCCTCAAAAAGTGAGATTTTTCCATCAGAAAGTGAGAAAAATTGAAAAAGGACCTGGTTTTTAAGGCAATTTTGCTCGAAAAATTAAGCTTTTTTTCGAGTTTTTTTGCTATTTTTTTCCAGCAAAATTGGGATGATTTTTGATGATTTTTTTCATAAAAAAATTAATGAAATTGATTATATTAAATTCCTATAAGCTCTGCAAAGACTATTTTTTTCTCAAAAAGTGGGATTTTTTTAGACGGTTTTTTTCTCAAAAAACTTTTTTTCGAGGTTTTTTTCTACAGTTTTTCAACAGAATATGAAACTCTGTAAACTTTGGAAACAGTATTTTTTTGACAATTTTTTTGCTCAAAAAGTGAGATTTTTTTCAAGAATCTGGTTCAAAAAAATTGATGAAAAAAAGGACCTGATTTGGAGGATTCTTTCCAAAAAAAATTAAATTTTTGGGTCTCTCAAGTTTTCCAAGCGAAAATTAATGACTCTGAAGATTTTTATTCATAAATTTAGAAAATTCGATCTTTTTTTGAACCCTTTTTTGACCTTTTTTTGAAGAAATAAGGCAAAAAAAATTTTTTAAGTTGAAAAAAATTTCAAATCGAAATCGTCTTCCCTTCCATCAAGTTTACACTAGGACAGCGTAATAATTATTTTTTTTTGCAAGTTTCACGATTTTTAGCAAGATTTTTTCAAGTTTTCGATCAAAAAAGTGATAATTTTGTTGATTTTCAATCATAAAATTGATGAGTTTCGTCATTTTTGACGCTAAAAAAAAGTGGTTTTACTTTTTTTCAGAAGTCATTTTTCCTTTTCAACCATGATACTTATATAAATAAATACTACGAAAACTTAGTTCAAAATTGAGAATCGCTGGACAAATCCAAAATTTCCTAGGAAACCAAACAAGAACTCTCCAACGACCCAATGACGGACCCACTGTTCAAAGAAGCTCATATTGATAATTTGGTCGATATCAAGAGAAAAGTAGGTTTTTCCTAATCACGGCGTTCCCAAACGGGGTGGGGAGACGTCAAAAAAGTTTTGGCGCGAAAATTGAAATCTCATGTACGCAGCCGAAGGTGATCGAACAAACAAGTTATTAACGTTGAATACTCAGTGCAATTGGTGACGTAGAATTGTTTTTTGTGAGCTCAATTATGACGTATAGGTGATTCACTGGCTTGAGCCTTCGAGAAAAGGGTCCTGCCACGAAAAGAGACGAGACAGTGCCCTGGTTGGTGGAGAGTGCAGACAGGCCACGCCTTTTTGTGTCCCAAGCTAGCCGTGAATCCTCAGACCTTGGTAACGCGAACGGGACGCGAATCGGACGTGTCGGGGCATTTCTAGTGACCACTTTAGTAGCCTCAGAACCCTTAAGGGATCCCTAGAATCGCCCAGAAACGTCCGGAGCACGTCCGTATCGCGTTACCAATGTCCGAGTCGTCTATAGAATGACGTCACTTTATCCGAAGCGCGCACTAAATTTTTTTGTAAGCTCAGAGAATTTGACGCCTCGCTCACCTTACCTCACCCCATTAGGAATGCCGTGTTATGAAAATGAACCTTTTCATGATGGTTTTTAGGAATTGGAACACTACAAACGCCAAAAAAGGGACAGAGATGCGGCGGAAGCGCGCGCCGCTGAGAAAATCGCCCGGGTCGTCGAGGGAAAATAAAGATTTTGAATAAATGTCCATTTTGATTTGTACACTGTAGGGGTCACTGAGATGGAAAATAGTGGTTCCTATAGGGTTCTAAGAAAAGTTTAGGGGGTCAAATGTGGTCCCTTGGGGCCCCGAAAATCTAGTTTAGGGCCCCCTATAGGGGTTGAATTGAAGGGGTCCCTATAGGGGGTAGGATCAAAATGTTCCTTGAATCCAATTCCTCATATTCGTTCCTAACTTTTCCAAACAACGCCCCTTTAACATTTTTCAAAAAAAGTCCCCCCTATAAGAGCCCCGAGTTGGAGAGGGGGGGTTTAAGAGAAGCTCCGAGCCCCGTCCGGGCCCTCTAAACTTTTTCTTAGTTGATTTTTAATGGGGAGGTTCTTCAACTTGGCGGTTTGGAATTTTTCTAAAAATTTTTCTCAAATATTCTCTGAATGTCTAGATGAAGATACGCCATAGTGGCTACCGGCTCAAACCTCTAGTTTTTTTGAGATAGGATTTTTCAAAGTTGCGAAATATGCGTTTTAAGGCTATTTTTTTCGAATTTTTAATATTAATTATCTCAAAAAAATAAAAAGCTGGCCTGGGTTAAATTTTTTTGATGGATCTCGATATAAACCTTCAGAGATTATTTGAGCAAATTTGTAGAAAATTCCAAGTCGCAAAGTGAAATGAATTTCCGTGTAAATGGTACTACTAGACATCTATATTAAAACTACTATAGTGGTCCCTGAGACGGAAAATATTGGCTTCTAGGAAGAGGCTCAAAAAAGGCAGCAAAAAAGGTACCAAAAAGGCCGCAAAAAGGTAGCAAAAAGGCAGCAAAAAAGCTGCAAAAAGGCCGCAAAAAAGGTACCAAAAAGGCCGCAAAAAGGTAACAAAAAGGCCGCAAAAAGGCTGCAAAAAGGTCGCAAAACGGCTGCGAAAAGGCTGCAAAAAGGCAGCGAAAGGGTCCCTCTATCGACCCCTCCATTTTTTCTAAGATATTAAAGGCTCAAAAAATGATGGAAAAGGGAGAGGCTGCAAAATTGGTGCATAACAGCTTATAAAATGGCGCAAAAAGGCATCAAAAAAGGAACCTCTCTATGAAGCCATTTCCGACTTTGCCTATGTTTCCACTTTTTTTTTCAAACTCGGAACCAAAAACTATTGATCTGGTCATCGGACCAGCGGGGGGATTTTTGTGCGTCAGCTGCCCGTTTTATTGCCGTCCCATGGGCTTTTCGGTCCGGTCCCCCCGTTCAGCTCGGTCTCGTGCTCTTTTTTGTAGGATCTTAGAAAAAAACCAGAGATTTTCTTGATGTTTCAATAGCTGACTCATGAGTCACATTTTTCAAGTTTTTTAATTTTTCGAATGCATTTTCTTTGATTTTTTCGATCCTGACCTTGGTTTCTATCATTTTTATCGAAAAATCAGGATCATTTTTATTTTTTTTAAGTGCTGGATTTAGATTTTCAGCTTCATCTCAAGTTTTTTGGCTTAAATAGGATATTTTCTTCGAAAAATAGGAGTTGATTGAATTTTTATTGGACGCTGTTCAAATACTTTATTTTTTTTTTCATTTTTTGTGTTTGAACGTGTTTTAGAACGCTTTTTAGTTTTTGAACATTTTTTGAAACACATTTTAGTCTTAGAAACGCCAAAGGGTTCCTATAGGGTTAGAAGGTAAATACAGCCCCTTAAGTGGATAAAACAAAGGCTCAAAAGAGGGTATAGGGCATTTTTTATTATTCTATTGGTCCTTGAAAGCAAATTTCAGTTTTTAATGGCTCATTACTCACAGTGAATTCGTGAAAAACGTGTGTATTTCCTTTTTTTTTTCTGCATTTTTCTGATAATTATGACTAATTTCACATTTTTGAAGAGTATGAAAAGTTCCAAGATGTTTTTTATTATTATTATTTTTTGAATTTATTAACGACAGAGTGGTCCCTAGAAAGGTAGAATGTAAATACAGCCCATAAAGTGGATAAAATACGGACAAAATATACGGATTACGAAAAAAATGAGGATTTTAGAGAGCGCGAAAGAACAGGAGAGTTTCAGAGAAACAGAGAAAATATTGTTTTTTTCTTATCTCTGTTTTCCAATGCTCTCTGAATTCCTCGAGTGAAATCTTGGTTTTTGGAATAATGAGGAACGCTAGAGATATCACTAGAGGGGTTAGGAGAAAAAAACCCTTATAGGGGTAAAATTTTGGTGGTCCCTATAGGGTTTAAGGATCCGACTTCTGAGGCCCTTAAGCCCAATTGGTCCCTATAATGGTCTTGTAAAGTGAAAAAGATGTTTAGGAGGCACTAACATGCTCCCCTACAGTGGTCACTTCCGCAAGCTTTAGAGGCCCCTACGGGAAGAGAAAAAGTAGTCCCTTTAGGTAGGGGCGCAAAGCCCCGCCCCTTCAAGCCACCAAAATGACGATTTTTTTGTTGCAAAAACGGTTTTGAGGCGTTTATACTAGCTAAAGTCCCACTTTAAAAATTAACTGTTTCTGTTAATTTATGTAATCGACATCGCTCTACAAGACTGAATATTTTTAAAAAAACTATGTATTTTTTTCAAAAAAATAAGCGAAAAAAAGTAAGATTTAACACGAAAAAAAACTGACAAGTTTCACAAAAATCGTCGCGTTTCAGAAAACCAAGTGAGGAACGCTTCTAAATTTTTTTAGTATGTTATATATTAACACTTTTCTTTATTTTTTTGAGTGAAAATGAACAAAATCTACCGACGCGAAAAAAATATTGAAGCTTGTAAAGTGACACCAAACTTTGAAGCTAAAATGCGAAAAAAATTTCAGCGACATGGTATACTTTTTTTATTTGATTTAAAAACTAACAGTGTGTCCAAAAAAATAAAAAAATTCAAAATGAAAATAATTATTGGGACGGCGAATCAAATTATATTTGAGTTTTACCAAAACCTCCTTTTTTCGCCTGCCTCGTTGACGCATGAGAGAATAGGATCGCGTCTACATTTTTTTGATCAGGTTATTGAGCGTTCAAAACTCTATCAATGAAAAAAATTATGAAAAAAATCGATCGACGCGAAAAAAATAACGGCTTTGAAAAACCTCGAAAAAAATGGCAATTTTTTTGAAATTTCGAAAGATTTCGTGCAAGCATTCGTAGCTGTGTTTGCGTCAAACACACCGATGCGCCCCTTTTAAATGTTGCAGGAGCCGTTTTTTTCGGAGTCAAATTGCACTTTTTTTCCTGTTTTATTTCGAAATAACATTATTTTTTTCATTTTTTTCTTTTTTTCCAAATCGAATGATATCAATTTTTTTCTGAGTAGAAAAAAAGAAAAAAATAAGCTGAAAAAAATCCCTTTGACCTTTTTTTCTAGGTTGTTTTTTTGATATTTTTATCAAAAAAATTCTTATGAGGATTGTACAAAAAGATTCATACCAAAACATGAGGCTCAGTTCGGACAACCTCTCAGAACAGAAAAACCGATTTAAAAACGGTCCAGAAACGCGCAAAAAAACATTTAAAAAGAAAGCGTGCGGCAGCGGGTAAACCGTGAGATTTGCCTCCAGTTGTACGCCGCGCGCGCTAGTTTTTTGGCCATAACTTTTTTCTTAGTGAACCTTTTTTCAAAAACTAAACGGATTATGAAAATGGACAGTCTCCTCTATCGAACATTGTGAAAAACATATTTTTTGAATCGTTCTGAAGAAATGGCTTGCGGACCCTACCTTTAGGGAAACCTAATAGAACCCCAAGCTTGTCCCTCTAGTGATCACTCAGGTGTTCCTAATCTTTTTCTGATTTTCTGATTTTGAAGGGAATTTTTTCTGAATTTAGTCTCAGTTTATTAGTGACTATAGAGGTAAAATTTAAGTGGCCCCCATAGGGGTTTCAAGTCCGAGCCCAGAGGTTAGAAGTTCTTCAAACTTTCTTCGTTTGTTTTAGACTTTCCAGATGTTTTTTTCATTTGTCCATTATATTCATAACTATACGAGAAAAAAATTATTTTATAGTTTGAAAGTTTTTTTCGTTTCAGTAACCGAAAAAAAGCATTTTTTTCTGTTGAAATTTTGACAGGAAACCCGGAAAAAGTTCATTTCGAGGCTAATCTTTTTTTCATCACTGCTGCGACTTTTCTATTTGTTTTTTCTATCATTTCAAGCTAAAATAAAAAAAAAGAATCACTGGGAAAATTTAAAGTGGCCACTATAGTCTATAGAGGCTCGCCAAGGACTACTTGGAAAGGACACTAAAGTGGCCACTAAAGCCAGATCTATAGTGGCCACTTAGTAGTTTTTCATTCAGTATTCTTTCCAGTAACTCTGATAAATTGATAACCAACAGAATGGACCAGTTATGTTGATTCATTGACCCCTCAAATGGCCACTAAAATTTTTAGTGGTCTAGTTAGGGAGCGCAACCAAAAATTCAAAAATTCGAGCTTCAATTTTACTATGGTTGGATAGCTGCTCCAAATTACTATTCGGAACAGTTTAGTTTATCAAAAGGTTGAAAACAAAAAAAGCTATGGTCAAAACAGTAGGGAAAAAAGTCGCGAAATTTAGTACTGAAAGTTTAGATTTTACACTTTTGGTCGTTCATTGTGTTTTCATATCGGATTTAAATTTTTTAGTAGTTTATTTGGGTTTTCAAAGTCATAATAAGTCATTAAAACAGTATAAAACCACAAGTTTGAAAAGAAAAGCTATTTTTTCTTGAAAAATAAAAAAAATGGCCGCCGCGAGGATCGAACTCGCGATATCAAAACTGTAGGCAAGTGCACTTGCGCTGCTCCAAGCCCCTTCCCTCGAAGGTGGG